GGCAACCGCCGAGCTCTGCGCCCCGGGGGAGGACCGGCGGAGACGGGAAGGCGGGGAGGAGGCGGGGCCGCCCCGCGAGGGGCGGGGCGGGGCGTCTGCCGCCAGCCCTCGGCCTCCGCCATCTTGGGCGGGGGCGGGTGTCTGCTCACACACGCTCAGCGCCGCCATCTTGGGCGGGAGGGTGTCCAGGCCCTTCAGGGCTGCCCAATTCGACGCCCCAACTCCCTTCTGGCTCGCCGTTCTGGCTGCCGGTGGCCCCCCGGCGGCCGTGCTGCGCTCCCAGCCCTCGTCCCCTGACCCGTCCCCAGCTTCCTGCTCCGCCTGGCCTGACAAGTGCCCTCAGCTGCCCGCTGAGGCCCTCAGAGCCACCCAGCAGGGTGGAGAGCGGCACCCCGCCGAGGCTGCGTGGTGATTTGAAGCTCCAGTTACAAAAGATGTGGATCGTGGGGGCTTTTCTTTGGTGCAGCCTGCAGTTTAACTTTAGTCTCTCGAGTTGGCCACCTGAGAGCTTCTGTTTTGTCCACTGAACCACTGAGCTGCAGCCTGCCTTGCGGGCAAATCCTGGGCTTGCCGAGGACTAGGGATTAAGAAACACTAACCATAATATTTTCACGTGACAAATGCAGAGTACTTTCTAAGCAAGTGAAATACCTCATAAAAACTGTGTGTGTGCTCTTAGAACTTCCAAAAGCTAAGGGTCAGCCCACACAACCTCGTTGTTCTCCGTTACTCTCACATGACCAGCCAGTCTCTAGAAGTTTCTGCCAGGAATCCATGCATTTTGCATGGACTTTTTCAGGTGATTTACTGTGGACCTTGCTGCTGTGCCAGTCAGGTAGCTGTAAGTGGTTATTTTCATTCCCAGCCAAGTTAAGCCTAGTTCTGTACAGTAAAGCCAATAGCAGGAGATTAGAAATCCCCCAACTTCAAACAGCAGAATGAGAAAGCAAACGTCGGCATGCTTTTTAAAAGGAAAGGGGACCGAGGTGATACAGATTTACAAGCTCTAGACATCATTTACATAATAAATTCCACAGCTTCTCTAAACATCTGTCCTCCAGAGGGACACCGCTGAGGATCCCAATGTTTGTATCGTTCACAAATTGTGTAGCTCCAGCTCTCCAGGTAGTTCAGCGGTGACTTCTGCAGTGTGAGGCCAAGGCAGGAGGGACATGAGCTGAGCAAATGAAGATGTAGCTGAAAAAAAAATTGCGAGTCGTCTGCAAGATGCCCAAGGAATAAGAATATTTTCCGTTCTCCTGAAGTACAATCTTTTTCTTCAGGATTTCTTCTGACATTGCAGAAAAATGTTTATGATTCAAATTAAGAGATATTAATGGATATTAAATAGGATTTGTTGGTTGTCAACAGGTTGGAAAACACCTACCGTTTTGCACTTGGCTGCAATGGTTCTCAAAATATTTTACAAATACAAAGGACCTAAGCCACTGGCTGAAGAGTGGAAACAGAGTCAAGGCTCTCTGCCATGCTTCATTAGCTTGCTGTGCTTCATTAATTCTGCAGCATTTTTCAGGGCATCAGGATTAGGCTTAGGATGATTTTCCTCCCTAGTGAGAGCTGAAGCGCAAAGTAACCCTGGCAAAGCTAGAAACTTTCTGCCTCCAGACACTCACTGGCTCCATGGCTGTTGGGGACCCGCAGCCCCAGCCACGCAGCCTCCGTAAACCCGAAGGTCTCACCCAACGCAGGCAGGAGGCTGCTTTTCCCCACCCCAGCACCGCGCTGGCAGAGGAAGGACCAGCACAGGCTGGGCTCCATTCCCCCCATCGCCCCTGGCCGAGCTACCTGGTTACGGACATCCCGGCTCCGAGGGGAGCAGGGAAAGCAGGTTAAGTAGTTTTATGGTGGGTGAATAATGAATAGAGAGGGGCCAAGCAGTTCAGACGGTGCAGAAGAGCACACAAGGAAGCAGTACGATTAGTACCTGGGCATTTTGGCATTGTTTGGCATTGCTCCTATTTGCAAAGAGCAGCAAATACAGCACCAGGTATGACCCAGTACCCCCAGAAGCTAACAGACCTTTTCCTTTTTTTCAGAGAAATGCTACAGCTTAGCTAGCCTAGTCCCTGGCTAACAAAAGTCACATATAGGAACTGCTTTTAAACACGGGCGGGCCTTGATGTAATGTATGCAGCTGGCAAACAGCCTTTCTACTCCTGGATGAAGAGAGCAGCGGTGTGTGCAGCCCATGAATTTGGGGCAGCCAAGCGCTGCACGCACCGCCCTCCCCAGGCACCCCTGCAGCAGCACGGCTCCGCTCTCCCCTCTAGTGCCTCAAGACCACAGTTCGCCCCAAACACGCGAGAATAACACATTTAATAGCTGAGACCAACCATATTTCGAGGTAGAATCAGCCCGTTGCAGAGGTGTGGTTCCAGCGTGGTTTGCCTCCACGTGCCTTTGCAGGCTTTCCTCTGGTTTGCACTCCTACATTGCCACCATTAATGAGGTAAATGTAGCCATAATACCTGCACATCACAAGTGTGGATTTTAGCATGGGCATATGTAAGAGGACAGATAAAACATGCAGGAAACATATTGGTGTATCCCAGTACAGTCATCACTAATCATCATTATCAACACAGGTCTCATCTGAAAAGACACGGAGCGCCCTGAGCTCATACTGGAGTGCAGGGCACTAATCAGCTTGCTGCAGGGGGCAAAATAATGGGTTGTTGTTTATATTTCATTCCTCATCTGAGGACCTGGCAGCCCTTAATATTCTTTATTAATTGTTTGTTACACAATTGCACAGGAGAATAATACCTCCAGAAGTCCCTTTCTGACTGTGGTTTGCACTTCTATACATTCAAAATTTCACGGAAGGTTGAAGCTACGCTAAGGCACTCAGATTACAAGAGCCAGCTAAGAGCTGGTCTGCGTGGTCAGTTGCTTCTGCATGTCCATCATTATTTCAGAAATAAAAGCTTCCTGAGGTATATGTCATAGCTCACTGCAAACAGATGTGGAACAGGCAACAGCACATCTTATACAGCAGTCATGTTTTCCATGAAATGATAAGTGAATATTTTACTCCTGGGAGCAAATCCAATTTGCTAATTCACCCACTGGAACAAAATAGTGCGAGAGCACTTTTATAGCTGAAAACAACATGATGCCCCCTCTCCCTGTATTGCAGAGATATCACCGACACTTTACATGGGCTGCAAATTCTGTGCAGAGGAAGTCTCTTCTCATCTGTAGCGTGTTTTCAGGCAACAGACTTGTGATTTACTATCAGCTGCTTCCAGAGCCAGCAAATGGGGATGCTGTGTCTGTTCTCTCAAGCCTGGTGAAGTTGCAGAGTATTTCAGGTTCTCATATGTCTGTGTTTGAACACCATGAATATTTTGCCCAGTAAAATCCTGCTATAATGTGTAGCGTAACAAAAGCTGTGTAATGATAAAATTTGTTACATCATGTTAATAGTATGTTCTTGGCATTCACCTCAAATTATGGGACTCTCCAGAATGCCCTTCACTATGTTCAGAAAGACAGCACTGAGCACTAACCTGGGTACATAATTCTGTTGACTGTTCCACACAGGGTTTCTCAGGCTGTTAGATTTCGACTCTGCTTCCCATTTCCACCATCAGCTGTCTGCATAAGCACCCTGGGAATCTTTGCACTCATTAGTGCGGCAGTGCAGAGCACTCACAACAACGCAATTACTGATGCCATGGCTTGCAGGATATTTCTGGCATCTGAGGAGGACCAGTCTACAGATGGCCGTATCAGAAGAAGAGAGCACATAAAAACGGGATCAGATCATCACTTTCTGTGTCTAGGCATTTCCTGGAAATTCTCTGTGGGTTAGAGGTTGCACAACACAAGAGGAGAATCACTGGATTCACCCAGTGATACAATATATCATTCCAAATATAGTTTTAATAGGTACACTCTTTGGCATTTATTTAAATTACAAATTACCTAAATTACCAAAGTCTGTAATAATATGAAATTACATATTGCTGTGTCCTCAGATGAAACATAAAAGTTCATAATGTTTGGATAATGAAGAAAAAATACTCTGTTACTGCTACGAAGTAGAAAAGCTTCAGATTTTTCCATGCTCGTTCAAGAAAACATTGACATCACAAAAGGTAATAGGGTGTATTTAATCAGCATTGTACAGTGCTAAATCAGTGCTGACCAGGAGGAGAGGGGTATAGGGGGGTGTGAGCTATGTTTGTCGTTGGGATCCTGCGACCCAATGCTACATGCTGCATCTGGGACACCTGCAAAGGGTTCTCCTCCATGACTGCCAGAAGAAAAGTTTCTAAAGCACACTGCATTGTTTTTCTAAGCCATTGCATTAAGAAAAGGGGGGGGAAATCTACTCATCAGACTAGTGTCAAACAGGTGTGAAAAAGCAACTAGAATGAGATTGGTATGAAACCACTGGGACTGCATACTAGGGCACAATAGTCTGGCATCAGCTATGCCAGCCACATCAGGAGGATCCACACCACCCTGGCTGGCCCTTTATCTGCTTGGCAGCCCCCCTGACCTTGGGAGAGCGGTACTAATTGCTTTCTCTCTGCAGGGTGTTACGCAGGAGCAATGGTAAATACTGCACGCAGAGAAAAAAAAAAAAAACGTTTCTATCCTTCTCGGCTGCACGGCATGCTGTGGAGCGTTCGTGGAAGGTGCCTGCCATCAAATGCCACTACTCTGCAGCACTGAAATTAGAAATTTCCCAGCTCCCCAGTGGCAGGGAAGGCGGCTGTGCATGTGCTCTTCCACCCCAAAACATGGCTTTCCTTTGTATCCATAAAAAGCCAACTTACACTCCTTCCAATTAAGCTGTGATATGAACTGCACTTTGAAAGTTCTTAATCCATTTTATGGTTCATTAACTCAGAAAATTTCATACCCATGGTTAGC